TATAACGAAACAAACTCGCACTATAAGAAATGTGGGAACCTGACTGCCTCTGCGAGCTGCCTTCTTTATGCGTTGTTTTAATTAAGCGAAAGGATTTCACCTTCCTAAGCCTGTCGTGGTTTGATCCCAGGACCAGTCGTTGTTGTTGTTGCCTTTTCTGCTATGTTGTATGTTTGTGTGATGCTGTCGGAGTTTGAACCCGGGACCTAGTGTTGACTTACCTGTGCCCTTACCTGTTGCTATACCCTGTAACAGTTGTAAGTGTTGACTGTGCTTGTGGAGCCTTGAGACCTGCTCTTATGTGTACGTGAAGTCGAAGCTTAGTTCCATTCGTGCAGTAATTTTACCTTCAGCAAGTACCCAGAGGCTTCCAAAGGCAAGAGGGGGTCTTGGGAAAACAAAACTGCAGATTTTGTGTTTGGAGGACTCATTCTGCGTGGTGCTGGTTCGTGGAAATAAGCAGTGCACTGTGTGGTGAAGAAGATAGCCATAGCTGGAGTAGTAGGGGAATCGACTTACCATCTGGTAGTCGTTGTTTTCTGTTCCTTTTGGAGTGGGATCGCTGTTGTGTCGGGCGTTTGTAGGAGAGAGTTTTTGCTTGGTGGTCGAGGTGGTGAGTGAGTCATCGATTGTGGCACTAAAGATTTCCAGGGAGAGATTTGTGGGAGGCCTGTTATCTCTGCAGCAGAGAGTGGGAGGGCCTGCATTGTGGGAAGTTGAACTCGATGGTATAATTGAGTCAGGCCTGTTATCTCCAATGTTCAAGTTTGTGAGCATTTTTGTGGGTCTGACCCACCACAGCTGCACTATAGTATCTTTAAAATTTCATTGAGCTGTATGACCATTCTCAAGGAGGAAGGACAATTTGATTTTCATGTGTTTGGTGTGACCACCATATCTGCGCGCTCACATGGAATGGATGGTGAATGAGTGACGGTCTCCTCGCATAAGCCTTGGCCACTGGGCACTCTTTGAATGAAATTATTTTTGCCAAACAAATTGAAAAACATCTTCCCTACCTCGTATGGTCTGTGCTGCTTCTTTTTCAGCTGCTGCAACAGGTTCAGGTGCTGCAGCTAGTGTGTTGGGTCTACATATATAATATGTTGAAGCTGTTGCAGTGTGTGTGTGTGCCTGTGTGTGTGTGTGTGCGTGTGTGTGTGTGTGTGTGTGTGTGTGTGTGTGTGTGTGTGTGTGTA